CCTCCACCTTCCTTCCTCCTCCCTTCTCTCTCAATCTCTACCATATGAGAGCAAGATTCTTAAAACTGACAAGAATAAATCAACTAGTGAGCAGAAACATTTTTCAAAGCTTTTTTTATATTATACTGTACTTCCTCCATCTTTGGCCCCATCTTTTTTCTGTGTTCACTGACTGTAATAAGTATAACAATGATTTAATTATGGTTTCAGTATTTTAATAGCTATATGCAGTGTCAAAAGTACGGTAACTTCTAACAATATTATATAAACAAAGGTGCTAGCTTCTTATCATAAAAACATAATGGCAGTCCTATAATTGGTTTTATAATAATTTAATAATACACTTATTGAAATGAGAAGGTTTTTTTATTCTTACCCTCACTAGGAGGCGGTTCTTCAGCGTGATTGCTTTGCATGCTACGAACTTTATCGACCACCGCAGCCATCCTAAGGGGTCCTGTCTTCTGTGAAAGCGGTGGCAGCGTGACGACCTTCTTCTTGCCACCCAACATGGATCTGACTGCAGCATGTCGGAATCTTCATAGTGTAACAAAACAAATTGCAGTTATTAAAATCAATTTAATTATTCAAAATTAGCATCACATTAAATATCAGCGCAAATTTTCAAAATTAACACATTTCATTGTTTGTAATGCAAACTTCAACGTTGTCATCAAGAAATTGATTACGGATATAAACAACATGTGAATGCAGGTGATGCACACATATTTTTAAGAGAAGAAGAAAAATATGAGAATTAGGTGAAAACTTGGTTTGCAGAGCAATAAAATAAAATTGCGCATATTTACGGAGGGTGTGGTCAAACATGACAGTTACCAAAATTTAGCACAAATTGTGTCCACAATAAAGTGCACAATCAGAGGAATAGTCTTTCAATCAGTGTTTGCTCACCAATGCGGAACTAAGTTGTTGTCAACTGTTAGTTTTGGAAGCCCGGGATATAACATGCAAATTTGAAACAATTTTTCATAAATATGCAAATCCCACAGAATTTTGAACAAGATTGTACCTTTTTTTTGTATGTTTTTACACCCTAACAAAATAAAAAACTTAAAAAATGATTTATATTGTTAGGATGAAAAACAGTGAAACAAAGTATTTTTATTATATTTTCCCTTTTTTTGACCTCACCATCTTTATAACAAGCAGGCATAAGAATTTCATACAGAGTAAGTACACACACATACACAAACAAACAAACAAACAAACAAAACAGAGCCAGTCTTTTTTTGTTGTTGTCAAAGTTAGGAATGAGAATTAGATGGAAAGATTACATAGGAACATCATAGTGATGCTTGCTGACAAAATGCAAACACTGTGGTGTGAGTAAAAATTCTGGTGCCTTAAATTGACACTTACCGAGCCAAACTGACATTGCTAGACCACATACAAACATTTGAGGATTAAAAATTGAATGATTTGTTTATTATATAATAACTAAATTTTGAACATATCTGTCAATCACATTTCCATTCTTCACCTCATCATTTTGATTCACAAACTCGCATACATAATGAGCCTCACAACATTTGACCTATAAATGATGTGCAGCAATTATTTTGGTTTACTTGCCGATAAATCAACAACATTTTTCAACAACATTTCATACTACAATTTCCCTTTTTTAAAAATATCTAGCTAATTAATTAAATAAACTAATAAGAAATTGATCTTTTCAATTTGATTGATATCCAGTACTGAATGTTGATATTTTAAAATTGTACATTTACACATACTGTAGCTATGATCTTCATTCTGCTGAGTTGACATGGTAAAAAATTGTTGTTATTGTCAAAAAATTTTTTTAATAATTTTTTTGCTAGGCAACTGTTCTGAACATTGAATGTCACCGTTGTCTCCCCCAACTTTTTTTAGCGAATACCAAATGCTGATATATATTCCATTTTGCTATAAAGACCATATACTGTGGAATACTTTATTTTCGCTGGAATTAATTTTCGCTGAAATGGCTTTTTGTGCGTTTTGTATGGAATTTATTTTCACTGATTTTTGTGAAATGTGAAATATAGGCAAAAAAGTATATTCGCCGGATTTTATTTTCACTGAATCATCCCTTCAGCAAAAATAGCGAAAATATATTCCGAGCGAAAATAAAGTATTCTACAGTATTCTAGTTTGTTCCTACATGACATGGTTTTGTGACCATCTTTCTATCATATGGCATTATGGCAAGATAATGCACTTTCCTGGCATCAAGTAGGCCCAGTCGAACACTAGCATCTGCGGGCCTTAACCAAGGTTTACCCAATACCACATGTGGATTTAGCCTTCCCATTGAGTCTGTGGCACAATCGCCAGGGTAGGGGTTGACTTTTTTTTATTGTTCAACCCAATTTAGGATTTGATCCTGGGTCTACCAAATCAGAGTTTGATCAACAATTATTAACCTCCATGCTATGAACAGTATGGTCCAAAAGTTGGTACAATATGCATGATGAACGTTATAAACAAAACAAAGAACACAATAAGGCCAAAAAGAGAAAAAAATTGTTTTGTTGCCCTCAGCGACTGACCGAAAAATATGAAATATCGGGTCGTGTTTTTTTTTTTCTCATATACCTCAGCTATTTACGATACCCTTAGTTTTCACGAGTTTAAAAAAAAAAAAAAAAAAAATCCGTCCGACCGACCCAATTTTCAATTTTCCGACTTGAGGGCAACATAAGTTTTTTTTTTTTACCTAATTATGAACGGGCTGTGTATAATGCATCCTACTTTTGTTAAATGTTTGAAGGGTTTTAATACAAAAGTCACGGTTCATATCCAAAATGCCTCACTAAAATTGACACTGCTATTGGGATTATATTCCCTTTGAAATTTTTCAAAAATTTGAACCCCAAAAAACAAGCGCCTGTTAAATTTTTGAAAGTTTGTGCTCATCATATTAAAGCAGAGGGATTGTCGCGAGCGTGTCCTTGAAACTTGAGTTCCAAGTGGCGTATACAACAGATTGTTTATTTACATCAAAACAGACATTCTGTATAATAGTAATATGGCCAAAAATAAAAACAAATAACGGTTGTCTTTGATCTGATTATGAAACACACTGATATGTATGATGTATGTGCCAAATACGAATGAAAATGGTACATAAATTGTGAAAATATAGTAGTAAGGCCAAAAAGTCAGATTGCTGTCAATCCGCCATCCTTGGCCGGATTTTGAAACAAATTGTCATGGACATGCATCCTAACATGTATAAAGTACATGTATGTGCCAAATTTGAATAGAAATTGACAGAGCATGTCCAAGATACCGCATACAAAAAAACAAAACAAGATGCCTGCCAGTCGACCACCTTTGATCCAATTGCAAAATAAATTGTCATGGACATGTATCCTAACATGTATAATCTATGTACCAAGTTTAAATGACACAGCATGTCCAAAATACAACATTTTCAAAAAACAAGATGGCTGCCAATCGGCCATTTTGAATCAAATCGCTAAACCACTGCATGTGCATATGTCCCACATAAAGTACTAGGCACATGCAAAGAATGAACAGAATCGGTCCAAGGGATTCTGAGATATGACTCCGGACGGACACAACGACGCACAGACGCACGGACGAACGGAGACCAAATTATAAGTCCCCGTTTTTGGACTTCGTCCGAACGGGGACTAATTAAAGCAGTTTTTCACATTGTTTCAACTAAAACATTATTACTTTTATAAAATACTTTATTACAAATTGACAAGCTTTTTAATACTTTTATTAGTGAAATTAGATGGAAAAAAATTTTTTTGTAATGTCTAAGGGATTTCATAGATTTTGATAAAAAGCTATTAATGTCAAAATATGTTACTCAGCTCAAAATTAATGAAATAGTCGAGAAAGTTACCTGCATTTAAATAATGAGTTCAGCTGTTAAGAGCAGAAACAGGGTAAAATAGTTCATATATGACAGCTTAGGTACGTGGTAAATAGTATATTCATTTCAGTAATGAAAAACATGGACATGTTTCACTTGAATGCTTAAGTCATTTTTCATCAGTCTTATGGTATTTCTAAATAGTAGCAAGCAATTATAATTATTTAATTTTTCAAAGAATGTCATCCTCATTCAATGCAGCAGTTATAACAGAATCATACTTTCAATATTTGTTTATTTATACTGAACATTTTCTTTAATAATTTCCCTTAGTATTCATGAGTTTATGAGTGATTCTTTTTTAGCACAATATTTTTCCCACCAAAATTTTAATGCAACAGTTTTCAAATTTGTATTTATTTTCCTATAAAATTTTTAATTTTTGCCTAAAAGAACATAATTTTCCATTGGCTGGAGGTCTTAATTGACATTTTGAAAAAAAAAATCGAAAACATTATGCAAGCATATTTTGAAAAATTCATAATCCGCATTATCATTGACCATATTTCATTAAAAGAAAAGAAATTTTACTGAATTAGAAATTAGAATACAGAGAGGTTATTAAATTAAAAATTTGAAAAATAATTTGATAAATAATAGCATCAATGAATGTTCTTCACTTTTACATTGTAAATAATATCTCGTCTGCGTAGACCATATTTATGTAACCATTAATTTCAGCGTAACCCGCACCCTTACCACGACACTCAATCGGTCAACAAATTAAAGACATGTCAGTCTATTACTGTTAGCTTTATATGAGAAACCCTTCATGAATACTTCACAGAATGGACAAATTGATTAGACAGCTAAGTGGTATGGTGAATTAATATTTACATAGTTAGGGGGTTGTCGATTACTGAGTAAGCGGTTATAAGATTAATCAGCAGCTGAATGTCTTGTAGCAAATCTAATGTCACACTTGCATTTGTGATATGACCAAGGACTGTCATTATATTGACCATTTTACTAATCTTTTAATTCCCTTAGACATTTGTCTGAAATGAATCATAGAATCGGTTTTCAAATTATTTTTAGAAAACAAGGTCACATTCGTGTCATGAAGGAAAAAAAATCAAAATATATATAATAAAAACATAGTCAAGCTATAAAAACAGACTTTCTTTTTAAAAAAAATGTAATTGTTAAAGACAATAAAGAACAAGCCAAATCATGACATGACATGTTACAGTTCCCACATTGTACAATAAAACTGAAATGAGTCAGCCATTTTGAATCAGAATTTGAAACAAATGCATAATATTTGAGATGATGAAAGTTTAAAGATTGATTAAAATTATTCAAGTATGTCAGAGATTTGGTTCTGGAACAGCATTTATCAATACAAAATAGCCATCAGTCAGCCATTTTGAATCTGATTTGAAAAACAAAATGATGTTCATTAAGGTCCCATAGACATAGCAGAATTTCTTGATTTTGATGCATTTGTAACATTTCAACGACTGCTATTCGGCCATTCTGAATTTGAATTGTCAAAAGAATGCATTTGCATACAAAATGTACATGTATGTGTGGTATGATGTATACTGTATGCGTAAAGTTTGAATATGATTAGTCAAAAGATATAGCCACCAGTCGGCCATTTTGAATCCAATCTGAAAAAACAAAAAGACACGCGTCAAAGTGGTATTATGTTTAATGTATGTAGCAGCTGTGAATGAAATCTGCCCATACACAAGATAAATGTTTGGTTTTTACTAATTTTAATCACAAAAATGGCTACCATTTTGCTATGTGAAATTGGACCATAAAATAAATGGACGTGCATATGTATCCCAAGATGCATCATTTATTTATGAAGTTTCAATTTACTTGGTCTATAGGTATGTCAATTCCCTCGTTTCGGACTGTCAAAATGAATAATATTTTAGACCAAGAAGTAGATAAACTAGCAGCCTGTCGGCTGAGATAGCTCCGCTGTTATCAATGCACATTTCAATTAAAGAACTGCAGATATCATCAGAAAATGAACAATATGTATAGTATTAAAGCAATCAGACTTGCTGTTTTCAAAAAAAATTTTAAAATGTTACTTTTATCAAAAATATTCATTAAAATTAGATAATTGAAGAACAAAATCATCACGAAATGAACAAATCTGAGAGAGGTCAACCTGTAGTACCTATGTAGTATATATAATATTAAAGCAATTGGACTTGCGGTTTTTAACAAGAAGTTGAAAATATCACTTTTTACCAAAAATGACAAAAATAATCATGAAAATTAGAGAATTAAAGATATCATCACGAAATGAACAAAACTGAGAGAGGACCACATGTAGTACCTAGATATGTAATATCAAAGCAATTGGACCTGCGGTTTTTAACAAGTAGTCGAAAATATCACTTTTTACCAAAAATGAAAAAAATATTCATGAAAATTAGAGAATTAAAGATATCATCATGAAATGAACAAATCTGAGAGAGGTCCACATGTAGTACCTAGATATGTAATATCAAAGCAATTGGACTTTCGGTTTTTAACAAGAAGTCGAAAATATCACTTTTTAACAAAAATGACAAAAATATTCATCAAAATTAGAAAATTAAAGATATTATCACAAAATGGACAAATCTGAGAGAGGTCCACCCAAAGTACCTACATACCAAGTATCAAAGCATTTGGGCTAGCGGTTTTCAAGAAGAAGTTGAAAACAGCATTTTCGACCAAAAATGACAAAAATATTCGCTATAAATAAGACAATTGAACATATTGGGAATATATTGTTGTTGTGTATGATTCACAATATGTATATGTTCAATGTACCTGTACAATGTAGCACAAGCAAACATCCAGAATGACAGGGACGGAGAAAAAATGGTGGGTTATACTGCCACAGTGGAAGTTTAGAGATATATTCACTGATTTTTTGACCACCATTTTCACAAATCTTTCATGAAAAATGCCAATTTTTTAACCAAAAGGTACCCTCAATATTGATGGTTTTGGGTCCATTTTTGAACTAGGGAGAATCAAGTTCTTTCAAAAAATTTCACAATTATAATACAATAATGGCAAGATGACCACTTGAGGGCAGCAGAAACTTAGGATTAAAACTTTCAAAATGTAGAAACAAGATCTGAGGTCAAATAATTGCTAGAGAGTTGATGACAAAAGTACATGTTAACTGACCCCTACATGTAGAATGGTATAAATAGATAGTCTGTATATATGGTTAACCATAGACCTTAGAAAGAGGTCTTAACAGCGCTATGCTATTGTTAAAATCACTAAGTACAATATGACACCCATACGCACGTCATTCCACTATTCAATTACAACATTGTGTTGTGCGTTAACAAAAACCATTCAAAAAGAATGGTCTTATTTTCTTCTCAAGACACTGGAAATAACTTCTATTGAATACAGTTTGCAAGTTTTGAATCTGGAGCAGAATCCAAATTTCCTAAATTGCAGTCAGTATAATTACCACGGTAACAACAAGGTTGTCTGGGGCAGAAAATTTGTGAATTCTCTTTAATTAAGACAAGTTTACAGTCATGCAAGTTTAATTTTTTTGGGCACATTTCTTCTTTTATAGTTACCAACTTATTGTCAATCTGTGGTAAAATATGCATTTGTTGTTGTATTTTAGTGCCTTAAATATTGCACCAATCAGCATGCCTCACCTATAGTTGGTAGGAACCAATCAAAAGACATGTACCATAAATTTGTTTGAAAAAAACATTGCATCATGACAGGCTCTGTATATCCACAGTTCCTCTATCCTCTATCGATAGAGGGACTGTGGTATATCATATCAAAATAATTCAAAACAAAGCAAAGTAAAAAGTAAACACAAAACAAATATTTTAAAAGAGCTGGATAATAGTGTCCACATTACAGATCATTGTTTGTTTGTTGGGTTTGAGTGATTGTTATTTACTCTACTGATCACTTGACTATAAGCAGCAACACAAACATATCATACTAACAACAAATACGGTACCCCGCAACAGACATAACAACATGAATCTTGGCCCCTTGATCTATCTACAAAATCCAACTTTCATTTTCCACTTTTTTACAGGCCAGTTGGCAAGACTAAATTTTGACTAAAATTGGAAATTAAGTCATAAAACTGCTGTTTTTCTGCTAAAGACATCAAACCAACTGTTGTTACATCATCACCGTCTTTAACCGTTTGAATGCCAAAATAAATTTTTATTCCATCTACAAAATAAATCTGCATCATCAAAATTATGAAAAACATTATAGAAAATACATGAAAATGTAAAATTTTGGGGATAACATTTTGGCGAAAAAAATGATGGCGTTCAAAGGGTTAAAGAAAAATGTAAAATGTGCAAAGACGAATGAGTGAAATTTATACTTTCATATACGGACACAATTTCTGACTATAAAATTTTGGTTATTTACCTGTTTCTGTGTGATATTGTGTCCGATGTCAAGAAAGATGATACAATAGTGTTATTAGTGCACTGCAACAATTAGAATCGTGCAAAAAAAAAAGATTTTTTTTCCTAGGAAAAAAGCGGTTATTAATGCAGGTTATAAATTATAGCTGCTGCTAATGTTGCCATAGAGATTGTGATGGTGAAAATACGAGTAGTAAAAATAACTATAAAAATAATTTTTGCTTTGATGTAAGAGTTGTTCTCATTGGCTGAATGGCACCAGGAGCAGCTATACTAGCCAATCATATTATACCTTATATCCCACACAACTTATTGACACCACAAAAAGCTCTGCATAATTAATTTATTAATAGAAAATTCAACTTCATATCAATCAATTCAAGCTATGTTTGACATGCAATCTCAACTTTTTTGAATCAAGAATTTATGAATATTAACAAAAAAGTAAAATGTCTTCTTTGAAGCCTTGAGATGTGTTTGGAAACATTATAAAATCCATACTACGATACACTGGCTTAAAAACAGATCAGTATTGTGTTTCACTTGTGATGTAGGAACATCACACATATTGAGATTATAGTATCGTATCAATGCACTTTGGGAATAAGGATAACCACAGACCCTGGAAAATATCAAATGAATATACTCTAATGGGAATAAGAATACTCGGTAACCCTGAGGACCTGAAAAATATGAATAAACTCAGGAACTTGAACAGGAACAGGGATAGCCACAGGCCCTAGAAAAATGGTGACGTACGAATACACCTCAACAGCTACAAAATAATGTTCCCATCATGCATTGCAAGATTCTTGAAACTTGATACTTTAGAAAATATGGCAGGTTTTAAATAAACTGAAAACCAACAAGCTCAGATCTACTGACATTGCATGCAAGTTTCTTGAGAATTTATTTTGCAAGAATGTTTTTCGGAAACGGAATTTTTCCAGTACACCTGGCTTCTTTCCATAACAGTCCATATGGTAGGAGATTGTTATATCCCTATCTATTTCTTGCATTTATCTTTTTTTGTTGCTTTTTTTTTCACAAATATTTTCAGTAGATTTTTGTTAGAGAAGTTGTGGTACGTAGGCCCCTTAGCCAGGCAATATTTATTTCCCAAATTCTTTTAGTACAATAGTTTCAGACTTACCATCCAGCTAAAATAACAATTAGAAATTTCTAAAATACTTTCAGTTACATTAGTTTTCAGAAAAGTTTTAGCAAAGCAATATATATTACCAAAATTATTTTTACTGCAATAGTTTCAGAGAAGTTGTGGTATGAATTAAGCCCCCCCTAGCAAAGCAACATTTAGATACATGTACATGCAAAATAAAGTGACACTAAGTAACAAACAATAAATGCTAACAAACACAATTTACAGTTCAATCCAAATTCAGATTTTCAGGAAGCTTATACTAGTAAACCATTCATGCATATCCCATCATGCAACACTAATTTAGCATGTTTTGTGATTTGCATCTTGCCAACCAATATTTACATACACAGCGAACAAACAAAGATACACTTAAAACAAAACAAAAACAACGACCACATGAATACATGTTGATTTGTTAACACAGTAAACAATTTATACATAAATGCTTGGAAGGGATGAGCAAATATATTTTTAATAACACTGAATGTGATTGGCTAGGGATGGTGGTAACAGGGTGAAGCAGCCAATCAGCATTTGCATACCTTGCTCTGGCAAATGATTGTCTTTCTTCCACTGGTGTAAGTACTTTGGGTCTGCCAGGTTGATTTCCAGCCTCTAGATCTCGGAGATATCTACAAAGAGAAAAATTTTCGGAAAACAAAACAATTTAAAAGCATGTGAATTACTGTATAAACATCACAGACACAGCAAACACACTTCAACTGACACAAGAATTACAAACATGAAAGTAAGGAGAAAACACTTGAAATATCGTAACTAGTTTTGAATTACAAATCTTGACCGTATGTATGACCATTTTTCAATTCAAAATGGCCACCAGAATTTCTTGTCCAAATTATTCTGCACTTTTTTCCTATATCCTTCAATATTTTTCTAAGTCAACCCTAATTTTGGAGCGAACAAGTTCAGTTACCCCACAGATTTTCTTTGTTCTGTTTCTTTTATTTGACGATGCATTTCACTGCATTGCATTATTGGTACCACTACAATCCTTCGATCAATTTTTATTTAAAAAATTGTAGCTCCAGTACAGGCAATGATTTTTAAAAATATTCAATTAATAATTATTAAAAGAAGATGCAATATTAGTTAATCTAAATACTGACTACCGGTATTTCTTTTTATTTGTCATTTTAATATCAATTTATCAGTGAACCAAGGAAAGCAAGTTTCATACATGCTTCATTAGAGAAGTGCCCTGTGGTACTCACTGCGACAAGTCTGTAACAAATGAAAACTTACTACAATAATTATAATCCTTTCATATTTATCAAGGTAATTTTTGAGTAGTATTTAGGATGTCTGGGAATAAATCATGCATGATACATGTACATGCTCCGGGCATTTAACCGATGAATGTTGTATATCATCAACAATGAATCAATGCATGGAACATTATGGACTAAGTACGGTACTTCAGGGATTCGAGTAATGTTTAAAAATAAATAGTCCACAAAATATTCCTGATAGAAAACACAGTTGATCAAATTATAACGCAATCTTAAACTGGATCAAAATATTAGCATGCATCGAATTCTGAATATTTGGTTCAAAAAGAACATCTCACGTGTAATTCAGAGAAAAAAAAACTGCCAATAACTTTTGGACCCACATTTTGGCAGTAAAAAATGAAATGTATATTTCAAAATCTTGTTAACCCAATCAATTCCTGTGTAGCAAACTGAATGTGTTAAGTAAACTACTTTCTGATTGGTTGACATTTAAAGTTCTGTCAAAGAAGAGCATTCCCCATTAAGCGTTTGAGATATAGTTATGTGAAGACAATTTTTTTAAATGTCTGGTGAAAAGACATGGTACCTTGATCTCTGCAGTGACAAGCAGAGTGGAAAATTTCATTGTTTATACTGAAAGACCAACTAAAATGTATCACAGTCTTTTTTTTTGTTTTGAATGATATACCAGTCAATATAAATGATATACTGTAGAATACTTTATTTTCGCTTGGAATTTATTTTCGCTATTTTCGCTGGAGGGATATTCCGTGAAAATAAAATCCAGCGAATATACCTTTTTTCCTATATTTTATATTCAACTCATCAAAAATTAATGAAAATAAATTCCATACAAAACGCCCAAAAAGCCTTTTCAGCAAAAATTAATTCCAGCGAAAATACAGTATTCCACAGTAGTATATATATATTTCTATGTTACAGATCCAAAAGCGCATGCCATGTGGTTTCAAGGAATGGCAATATATACATGTATCAAAGTTATTAAGGTAACAGCATGGAACCAATATTACCGGTATATGGATTTCACATATAAAGAGTTGAATTCAACATCAATAAAATAGATTTTGAAGTTTATTATTACAGTACGTCATGCTATTTTTGGAAATTCTGCAATGGGAGTTGAGTTGCTTGGTTATTATAGCTGGGGGTCCCAGTGTCAGAGTGAAGCCTCACGGTAATAACTCAACATGTATGTCATTATTACCCCTATCTCAGTTGAAACATAAAACAGCGGTAACAGCTGACATAAGAATTATTTTAATGATTATTATTTAGCTTTGAGCACATAACTCTTGTATTTTTAGCTTCTTCAGGAGATACAAATGTAGTACGATGTTACTATGAGAACAGCGCAAAAAGTGCATGATGTGTAATTCAGGTTGATGCCATCCAGTACTGCCTTCATGTATACTTTGCAGTATACTCGTGATAACCTTATTTATATACATATTCTCCTGTATGTAGTAACAATTTAATGAGATAAAAATGCCTGAAATGTTAGCAAAAATATTCAGGTCTGCGCAACTGTTTGCGTTCAGTATATGAGATTCTATCTCATTACACACTACATTGTGACTATTTTTCAAAAAAGAGAAGTATTTTCTAAATAAAGGAGACATTTGATAGTGTACGCAACACTTTTTATTGTTTTTGTCAAATCCTCATAATTATAAACCTTATTGTAATATAAACATCTTTCCAATCCAATTGCCTAATTAGTAAAGCGAAGAAGCACAGAACTGAGAAAAATGGCAACATTTATTGGAATTTTCTCAATAGACTATATTAATAACGAGTACCGGTATACAATTATAAATGTTCCATATTTGGAATTTTATTTCCTAATAAGGTAGGATTCAGATACATGTACTCTGAAGATTACTTAGATTGATTCGCTCATTTTGATCATGTCAATCTAATCTGCATCTATTGTTCTCTGCGAATTGGCGGGAAATGAATAGTGCGCGATCCAAAACTGTTTAATGTTTTGAATGGCAGAATTTTTCTCATAAACATTTTGGTAGAAAACTTTAAAAAAAACACAAAATGGCTGCCATTTGGTCATTGTGAATTAAATCACAAAACAAAATGTTGTTCATCAGTAACCCACCATGAGTGATGTAATTACAGGAGCTACAAATCTTATACCACAGAGAGCTACAGGTATTTACGTATATCACATTGGGTGGCAGAACCATGTAGCAGTGCTCAGATATTAGACAATTTCCTGCACAAATTATACATATCTCACTGACTAACTCAAAATTACTTTTTTTTTGATCATCAGTAATTTCATAAAACCTTTATTTGCACCGTTATTGCTATGTAAATTTTGTAACGTACGTGCCGAACATAAGTTACTGAACATGTATTCAGATGCAGAAAAAACTATTGATTGCCAGGTCATAACCATGATTTGTGCTATCAATAGAGAAAATATGTAATAACATTTTTTTTTAATACTTACATATCATTTGTCTTGCCTTCCTGTATTGATTTCAGATTTGACTGACTGTAAAGAAAAAAAAGTAAAAAAAAAAGTTTTTAATATACAATATTGTTATGATACACGTTATGGAAATGATGCCATATACAGAATAGCGTCAAATGGAACAACATTTGAAGGGGATATAGAATATGTAACGAGTCAATAGAAAGATTTTGAATAATTTTGTTTAGAAAGGTTTAATAAAAAGAGATGAATAGAGCCGAAAAAAACTTTGGTAGCAATTATGGAATTGTACTTAATTTGCGATTTTATACAAATATAATTAGATATTCAAGCATGTATGGTACAAAGAAAGATACCTACGATAATAACATCGTTATCACAAAGCTAATAGACTCAAAATGAACTGAGAATAATTACCAAATCAAATGAAAATTAGAGGAAATTGCCTTTTTTGTTGCCATTTTACTATTACCAATATTAACAGAAATATTCTTACATTATAAGTTATGAGACAGAAAATCTTTCAGATGGATTCCTGCTATCAACGGCTTGTATTTAACATTGTCTGGGTTTATAACCAGTCCATACTGGCACTTTGCGAGAAAAAATCCTTCTTGTAAAACCATGAAATTAAAGTACTTTGATGCGGGTTAGCAACAAGGGAAATCACATTATAATCAAGTAGTGAATTTTTCTGGTACATTTCAATGATAATAATTACTAGTAAGTTGTTCATTGACATTAATTGTCAGCTTTTGTTTGTTATTTTGTTCTGATGAATGTATTGGTTATGGAATTGACTATTTGAATATTTCATTCTGCACTTGTTAATTCCCTGTATCAGCTGTCATTTGTTAAATCAATGAAATAATGAAAGTAAGTTCAGTGTTAAATTGATCGAATGAACCGATTGGTATAACATGTACATTGATCAGGCATCACTACACATTTTATGCTATACAACTCTACGTTTATTTTGATTAATCACGGTCAGCCTCATTATGATTTCTGAATATAATATTGGCAGATAATTGGATCTAATAGAGTCGTTATAACACTAACGACATCTGCAATAAGATGATGAATATACTAATACCGACTTTAATATCGTGACTATATAGACATGTCCATTTTGTACAAAAATGCACACTCGATTTGTTGAGCTTACTCGGCTTTGAGTATTTCATAAACAATAATGAAACTTTGGTAAAACTTATTACAGCAGTTTGAATATGGAATTAGACCCTAATTAATCCTTCCATACCCAGATTTTTTTATACCAAAATATTTATTGATTTTCTCAAATTTACCGCAATTTTCACAATAATTTTGAACTAAACAAAAAAAAATATGAAAATGCTAATAGATTTTTATAATTTTTTTCAAAATTTCGGTCTTACATGGTAGAGATGAAATTTTCTCATTTGTCTCAAATTTGTCTCACGAAATTAATTTTATAACAAGCAAAAAAATAAGTTCTTTACATGCAAGGTGAAATGCCAGTTGAATTCAATATTTTTAACATTTCGTGTCCAACCTAAAATATAAACTTTGAATGTGAATCTGACAAAACAACACTTTACAAAGCAATTTTACATTAAAATGATTGATTGAAAAGAATCAAAATTACTTCACTTTTATGAAAATCAGGAAGTAATCTGATTGGCAATTTACAATGGCAGCCATTTTTAAAAAACTATCAGAAACTATACGCAACACTTTAAGACTGTCCAGGAGGTGCAGACTATGAAATCAATATTATCAATACAAGATATTAGTGAATGTTAAAAACATTATTAATTCACCTCATGTTTGTAGTTGTACCAATTAAACATCTTACGTTTTAGTTAAAATGATGTATGACATTGTTTGCTAGTATTAGAATAACATGAAGTGACAGCGAGTATGCGAACACGTCTAGTTTGAAAAACGTGATTTGACAGGAGCTATTTTCTGAACAGTTACCCACATTCTAAATAATTATAACCGACCTTATGGTTATTTTCTAACCATAAGATGAAAAAAAAAATTCTCATCAATCAAGCACAGTTCAACAATAAGAAAATGACCTCTATCGTAATTACTTTCAGATACTCATACATGCTGCCATAAGCCAGTCAGACTACTACAAAAAACTAGCAATAATAACACTATCATAATGATTTACTGTAAAACATGTTGAAAAAGCGGCATGCAATTTTAGCGAATTGTGGTAAAATGACGTAATAGCGAAATGTTGATTTAGCGAATCTCTCTTGTCATTGTTGATTTCTTTGTTTGGTGGCCATTTTGAATTGATAATAAAGTCATTAGCGACATCTTGAATTAGCGAATCAGTTCTCTCGCTAAATTCGCTAAAAAGACATGCTCGCGAAAAGACATGTTTTACAGTAATTTTCAAAAGCAAAAAAATTAACACTAATAACACTAATTTTCCCGATAAATTGCTGGTGCAACAATTTTCATTTTTTATTGAATATTTCTATAATTTTTTTGTTAATTTTGAACACAAGTGGGCATACATGTAATTGTCATTTGTCACTACCGGTAGTCTTAATAAAAAAAATTTGAAAAAAGCATAAAAATTAGAAAGATGAAAAGAGACGGAAGTTGACTGTGCTGTCAAAGGTTAATCATGTCTGTAACAACAAAACTCAAATCTAATTGCATCAAAATGAATATATTAATATGAAGGAGTACCTGGAGTTTAAAAATTCATAATTTTTTATGGTGATGATGACATTTTTGAAAACAAAACAAATATAAGAAAACATGTGACTTATTGTAGCAGAATAAATTCTCCTGGAAGATTCCAATCTTTAGCAGTATTTTATAACAGTGGAAAAGTGATATGCAAATTTAATATGTGAAAAAAACAAAACAAAAAAAAAACAGTTTTCTCAAGTTCATGAACAGATTATCCTGACTGATCATCTCCTGAAAAGGACATGTCCTTGCACTGCTTCATAACAATTTAAATTTCTTCGTCCCTGACACTTCCTTTGAAAATGGCAGTCTTTCAAAAAGCGATAACATTTTAATTTGCCTAATTTATTCAACAAACAAGTTAGTATTATCATAGAGTGACAAGTTCCGTGAATAACATTCCGCAAACCAATTTGTCGATACATTATTGTTTATAAAGAGACAATTAACATACAGCGACGGTCTCCACGTTTTTAACGTTCAATGAGGAAGTTGTCCTGTCAGTTTCACTGCATTTAAACAACACTGAGACATTTGCTGTTGATCTTTTCATTGTATTTGGCTTCAGCAATTACGCATATGTGCATATTAAGAAACGCAACAAACCATGTGATATGTGTCAAAGGTGATTTTGATGACGACAGTTGTCATCATCCCATTCATATCAATATATTAAATCAATCAATATATTAAAATTATGACAATTTTCATCACTATGAAAATACTTAATTCTATCAATTAATTTTATTGAATAAAAATCAGAAATAATTTGTTTCTTTTGCCCCAAAGTAAATCAAGGGTAGATTTCCGAGGGCTGAAGGTAGGGTGGTGGTACTTACAATATAAACAAACAATATTGCTCACTTGAGCAAGTGACCGAACTCCAGCAATGCCAGATTATGATTAAAGGCAGTAGTTTGTTCAAGTAGGTACTAGTAATTGAATACCAAAAATATAATCAAGAGAAAAATGGTACTTTAATATTACGGTACTCCCAAGGGGAATTGTGGTACTCCCAAGGGGCATTTCACTACAGAAGGACTCCCCCACTGGATACAACAGAGAAATCAAATGTTTACATATTGGCTAGATATTTTAAACTTATGATTTTTGTCTTTCACAACAGGAATTGATAAACATACAAATTAAGTGAGATGCATCATGGGAATACTGCCTCTACGATGGACCACTCAATTTTAAGATGCTACAAACTGACCCAAATATAACAAAATATTAAATATAAAATTTTATTTATATTAAAAAAAATTAAATATAAAATTCAGATTTCCATGAAATATAATAGCATCCATTCCCAGCTTCAGTTTTTAAAACTGTAAATATCTTTTCAATTTCATCTACATTTAACAACCTAAAAGTCAGAATTCCTGGCACTTCTATTATTGCTTTTATATTATGACAATTCAAGGAGATTTTTTCAGAATAGTGACGGAGAAAAATGGTCCTTTTATGAAGTAAGCTATTCACCAGCAGAGGAGGAAGAAATACAAGTTTCTTTCTTTCTTTCTTTGGGTTATTATGTTCCTAATCATTCAACAGGTGGTTGCTAGGATACTGTTACTATTATCATCTACATCCTGAACTCTTTATAACAAAGTTGCAATCCAGTGGAGGAAATACACAATAACTCAATAGGACGTAGGAAGCACTTGATTTTGTGAACAAAGATACCAACAATGAACAAAATATTCAATCATTCAATTTTTTGTTCCAATTATTTTCTCATCGGTAATCAATTTTATAGACCAGACTTTCTAACAGTATTTTAAAGAACGTTTTATCAACTGTGTGAACTGTTGTTTAACTCAATTATTTAGAATGCCATGCATTTTCAACAGAACTCGAACCTACCGGTAATAAAATAATCGTTAGCTCCAAAATAAACAACATGGTAGAAATTTAATAATGTATATGCAATTTTATTCACAGCCAGTTCTTTCAAACAAATCATTAAATTGTTCTGCAATATGCTTTCATGACACACTCAGGAAAAATCTATTTTAATTCAATTCTAACTGTAGAAATGTAGTTTTATTGGTGCAAATTGCAAATTGCTATGAAATTTATAATGTAATACTTCAAAAGTTGAGACAAGATTTGTCATTGATCAACGTGATCATCTAAATTTTTCCAACCCAATGTAATGGCCCCCAATGTTCAATAATTTTCAAAATTCAATGTTATTGAATCAAAAATATAGAATTTGTTATTGTGTATACATGTAGCCTTTGATTATTAAAAATGTTGGGGTTTGGTTATTTTTCAATGAAGCAAGCTGAATTTGTACCAATCTGTTCCACAGAAGGTGACCAAAGTCAATGATTATGCATGAAAAA